CATGTCAGGGTGCCTACTCTTTTCCCAGCCAGAGAGCCATGCGATCTGTCTCCATGCACACACACAGGGCCAGGCCTCCACAGCCCCACGGCTCCGGAAGAATAGCGGGCGGAACCTTTGAAACGAAGAGGAAGCAACAACAATGCTCACACTCTCACCATATTTGGCCAGACGATCCGGAAAAGGCATGACTCAGGAAGCGGGGGACGGCGCAAAGGCCGGCACCTTGCTCCCCTTCGCCCAGAGTGCATCAGAGGAAGGTCTCGCGGTAGAACTCTCGCAGGCCAAGATCCCGACACCGAGCATACTCGTTCGCTCATTTAGTCACGTCCCAGTAAAGGGCCCCCACATTGCGCAGTTCAGCGTGTCACAAGCCTCTCCGGGTTACCCAACGTGACCCCCAACTAGGCGAGATGGCCGCCGCTACTAAGCTGAACGGGGGCGCACCAAGCGCCAAAAACTCGGCCAAGCTCAGAGCCCACTGCCAGGGCGAATGGAGGGGGCGCAAGCATCAATCCGCGAGAAAAATAAAACAACGTCGGCGGAACTGACCCCGAGAGGTGGCCCGTAGTGGAGCGAATTCTCCATAAATGGGGTCCCGCCTCTCCCACCAATGCGTAGACTCGATTGCCAGGGGGAGGGGCCAGGGGCAATGTGATGCGCGCGGCGACGGCCATCGTCATTGCAAAGGGGGCGAAGGAGAGGCGGGGGGCCTGGAGGGCCTCCCCTCAGCTGGAGATTGAGAACTGGGCGTTTCGCACCCGGCGTCGGGTTGATGAGGACCGTGGCTGTTTGTGGTGGGATTGATAACCCAGAGCATGCCCGCGGTCCTTTGCCTGGCTCGAGTCGCGTTTCTCTTCTTCATCTATAATACCCAAAACCCATCACGACCCCTCTGACCCCGCTGCGAACTACCCCGCCCCCGCCAAAACAACACATTTACCCATACCTAGCAACCGACATCATGGCCGACCAGACTTTCAAGCTCAACACGGGCGCCAGCATTCCCGCCATTGGTCTCGGTATGTTGATCGCATCATGACTCCCATTGGTGTGTTTTCCATGCTCACAGGAAATCCAGGCACCTGGCAGGGTGAGGCCGGCAAGGTCAAGGCCGCCGTCTCCTTTGCTGTCCAGAACGGCTACAAGCTCGTTGACTGCGCGTACTGCTACGCCAACGAGGACGAGGTTGGCGAGGGCCTCAAGGACGCCTTCGCCGCCGGCGTCAAGCGTGAGGACATTTTCGTCACCTCCAAGCTTTGGGGAACCTACCAGACCAGCGATGCCCGCGTTGAGGAGGCTCTCGACAAGAGCTTGAAGAGCCTTGGCCTCGAGTACCTCGACCTCTACCTCATTGTAAGTGCTCCCGCTGACGAGAGACCTCCGGCCCAACATCAATTGGCTCTGTTTCCACGCAGCGAACGTTCGACTGACAGTGCCCCAGCACTGGCCCGTGGCCATGAACCCCGAGGGCAACCACGACAGGTTCCCCACCCTCCCTGACGGCTCGCGCGACCTCATTCGCGACCACAAGCACACCGACACGTGGAAGTCGATGGAGAAGCTCCTCGACACTGGCAAGGTCAAGGCCATTGGCGTCTGCAACGTGAGTCCCCCGCCGGCCTCCCCAATCCTGGACCCCTTGGATGAGCTGACAGCCCCCTGCAGTACAGCAAGCGGTACCTCGAGGAGCTCCTCCCCGTGGCCAAGGTCATCCCCGCCGTCAACCAGATCGAGAACCACCCCAGCCTGCCCCAGGACGAGATCGTCAGCCTCTGCAAGGAGAAGGGCATCCAGATCATGTCCTACAGCCCCTTCGGCAGCACTGGCGGCCCCCTCATGAGCGCCCCTGTCATCGTCAAGATTGCCGAGAAGCACGGCGTCTCGCCCGGCACCGTCCTGCTGAGCTACAACAGTGAGTCTCTTTTTTTGGTCTCATCATGCGCACTCTCCTCTGCCAGTCGGGCGCACAAGATCCCTATGCTAACTGCACCCCGCCAGCCTCCCGCGGCAGCACCGTCCTCCCCAAGTCGACCTCGACCGACCGCATCAAGGCCAACCTCCAGACCGTCAAGCTCGACGACGAGGACCTCAAGTCCCTCAACGACTACTCCGCCGACCTCGCCGCCAAGAATGAGTTCAAGCGCTACGTCTACCCTCCCTTCGGCATCGACTTTGGCTTCCCCGACAAGTCGTAGAGACTCTTTCTTCTTTCGTTTTGCTGGGATCGGTGGCATGACGTGTGGAGAAAAATACAAGATTCCCAGAGTCAAAAGCATAGAGCGACAGATAGAAATGATTGCATTGTACACAAACGAGCACCGACCCACAGCGCCTCCGTGATCATTCTGATGACATGTTTTTAATGCTTGCATTCGGCGCGCCAGACGTATTTAATTTTCTGTTCTTGTACACCAAAGTTCTTATGACGCCCGCTCATCATATTTCTCCTTTGGCCATTTTCCCATTACACCTCCCCGTCGCATATTCTACGATGTTAAATCGACCATAACTTTGAGCACAAGATTGCCTTCGTCATCCTTGACGCGAGCGGCCATGCCAAAGGCGTCGGCAATGTTGGCAAGACCCTGATACCTGTGTGTAACAAGTTTCTGAAGCGAGGGCAGGCCCGCGGGGTTGCTCGCGATGAGGTCAATGGCCTTAGGATAGCAATTCGCGTAGCGGAAGACACCGACAAGGTCGACCTCGCGCAGAGCCGCTGCCGAGATTGGCAAGGTCTGGATGGGAGTACCCATGCCGATGATCATGACCCTGCCGCCGGGTCTCGTGGCCTGTGTATTCGTAAGCAAGACGGACATTGAGTAGAGAATAGGGGCGCACAACGCACGTAGATGGCCGTCTGCATGCAGGTTTCTACACCAGTGCACTCATATGTGGCAGTAACCTCTCCGACTGCCTTGCCCTGGACTTGTGCCTGCTTGACAAGGTCCGCAACCTCCTTGGCATAGGCAAGCTTCTCCTCAATGGCTTGTGGCCTCTTGGGCGGGACGACAACGCCAGCGTCAGCGTAGCCGTTCGCTGTGGCAAAGTCTACGCGATCGGACTGGATGTCGGCAATGACAACAGTCTGCCCTGCGGCTTTGCTGACAGCCGCAACGAGCAGGCCTACAGCACCAGCTCCCAGCACAAGCACCGTGGAACCGGAAGGCAGGTTGGCGCGGTTGCGGGCATGCATCGCGACAGAGAGAGGTTCGACCAAGGCGCCAAGTTCGAGGGATACGGCATCGGGGAGTCTGTACGGTGGTAAGCTTGGGTCCAACGATTTCCCGAATAGGGAGGCCACCTACTTGTGAACCCATTTCGCGGGGTGGTTCACCCTCTCCTGCAGCGTGCCTTGCGCATGAGGGTTGGCTTTTGCAGAGCTGCGGAACTTCATGCCTGGGCAGATATTGTAACGGCCCTGAGCGCAGAGATCGCATGACCCGCAAGGCAGGCCGACTTCGAGGGCTACGCGATCACCAGCAGCTAGGCTCGTGACAGCCGAGCCAACAGCAGTGACAGTGCCGGCGGACTCGTGACCGAGAGTCAAGGGCTCGCAAACGATGATGTCGCCGTTCCGGTAGTGAGAATAGTAGTGAAGGTCGGAGCCACAGAGCCCTGTGGCCTCGACGGCAATTTGGACTTCATCGGCAGAGGGAGCAGGCAGATCGCGGTCTTCCTGTAGGGAGTCAGAGAAGGAGTGTTACTGCTTGTTGAGGCAGGGCGTGGAGCTCACAACTCTGAGATCCTTAGCACCATGAAGCACAGATGCTTGTACTTTAGAATCAGACATGGTTGGATATCAAGATGATGTAATGTTTGGGTGTGTTGTTCAAGGATCTGTATCGGGTGGGTGTCGATTGTTGGCTACGAGATTGTGTTGCCAGGTGTGTCGTTGTGAAGGTCTTTGTTGCTTGAATCCTGGATATCTCACGATGTCGATCAAGCTTTCCAAAAGTTGGGAAAACGGAGAGAAGGCCGCGTTGATGGACCGGGTCATTCAAGTAGGCAGAAAATTGACTTGGGACAAATCGGCCGGCGAAGAAGTGACCGAGTGGATGGGGAGAGGGGCACCCGTCCATCGGTCATTTTGACCCCTCCTGGAGCCTCGAAGGCTGACTTGAGTGCCCAGCAGATGACGATGCCCCGCCCAGTTGGGCCGGTAAACATGGCAAATCCGGGGACCGGTAACCGTGCGGAGACATTGTCGGCGGATTCTGCCCAGTTATCCGTCTTGGGAGGCTCCGTAGCCGGCGACCATGTTTGGAAAAAGGATAGATTCAGACGAAGTAGTGACAAGCCCAGGCCTGTGGGTTGCCAGGCGGCCAGGCAAATGGTGCAAAGACGGGCGAGACGCGCTCGAGGGGCGGTCGTACCTGCAACGTCACTGGTCACCCCTTGCTCCTGCCCCTCCCCACACTCCACAGGGCCCAGTCGCTAGGGCCTCCACTGACCCCCACCGACCCCTCCATGCCCCGCCATCACCATGGCTCCTGCCCTTCTGCCCCCCAACGAGAGCTTCCCACGAGGTATGACTTTGATCATGATCCTCGACCATGCCCTGACCTGGCTCTCGATATCTTTGTACTGCGAGCTACTAAATTTGTATTGAGACTGCAGATTTCTTTTTTTTTTTAAGTCATTCTGGGGCCTTTACCAAACACTTGGATTATTTCTCGTCCCCCTGCCTCTTGCTCTGCTTCCATAGCTCGTCTAAGCCTGTCTCGCTACAAAAGTCATTCATCATCATGGCCGCCAAAATGTTTTCCCTCGAGGGACAAACCGCTCTTCTCACTGGCGGCACCCGCGGTATTGGCCAATCCGTCGCCATTGGTCTTGCCGAGGCTGGAGCCAACGTCCTGCTCGTCCAGCGCGACACGGCCGTAACCACCACCCGCGACGCCATTCGTGCCCTCGGCCGCACCTCTGAAATCTACACTGCCGACCTCAGCGACCCCGCCAGTGTCGCTGCTCTCGTTCCGAAGGTCCTCGCCGACGGCCACCAGATCCGCATCCTCGTCAACTGCGCCGGGATCCAGCGCCGCCACCCAGCGCACAAGTTCCCCGACAACGACTTTAATGAGGTCTTGCAGGTCAACCTCAACGCCGTCTTCACCGTGACGCGCGACATTGGTGCCCACATGCTCGAGCTCGAGCCCGACGCCGTGACCGGCAGACGGGGAAGCATTATCAGCTACGCCTCGCTGCTGTCCTTCCAAGGCGGTTTCACAGTGCCGGCGTACGCCGCCTCCAAGGGCGCTGTGGCTCAGTTGACCAAGAGCTTCGCCAACGAGTGGACATCCAAGGGTGTGACCGTCAACGCCATCGCGCCGGGATACATCGAGACTGATATGAACGAAGCTCTACTGGCGGACAAAGAGCGCCTCGCCAGCATCAGCGCGCGCATCCCCGCCGGTCGTTGGGGATCGCCCGAGGACTTCCAGGGTACGACGGTGTACCTGGCCAGTCGTGCGAGTGGCTACGTTAGCGGACATACACTCGTCGTTGACGGCGGCTGGATGGGAAGGTAATTTTGGATATGTCAAATGTATGAGGCACTGCGTGAATCAATTTGCGTTAATGATACAACTAATACCATTACACCGCTAAAACACCAGCCGCTCTTGCCCACAATAACCTTGCCAGCAGCCATCTCAAGCTTTGGAAGCCATGACTTTCTCCATCCAAGGGTATACAGACCCATTGGCCATCGGGTATCCCATGTGCAACGCTCCCGGGAAGAACCTGCCGTATATCAGCGTTGTGCACCATGCATCTCCGTACTGGACGCGCTACCTACCTAGCCTCTTTGGGCGTTCCGTACTCAAACAGCATGATGGAATCCTCGATTGGCATCAAGCCATCTTGTGTACCCTGAGAAAGTTAGCTGTCCGTTCTCATACGATCGCACCAAGTCACTAACGTTGATCAAAAGGAGCCTGGTTGAAGGCTGCTGTAGGATTCCTGTGTCAAGAAGCGAGAACTTCTTCTGCACCCCCGTCTTGTACTCCGCCACAGTCTCGTAACCGTGCTTCATAGCCATAGCCGGCGTCAATCTGCGTTGAGTGGTCAGTAATGGACTCATCCATAATGAGCCCGCACGGAAGACGACTCACTGAAACGGATACTCGTGCCCATCGGCCTTGTCCAACCACTCTTCATCGAAAAAGTAATGGCATCCGGCTCCCTGCGCAATCGAGCCGATGAGCCGCTCCTTGTGCGTGTGCGCGATGCGAACAGCATAGTAGCCGCCCGAACTGAGTCCCCAGACCATCACCTTGCCCATATCGAACCGGCCGTCCGCTGCCATCCAGTCGAGCACACTGCTCCACAACCGATCAGGGCTGTCTGGGTCAGCCGAATCAGCAGGACAGTCCGCTGTGCCCGGGATCTCGACGACGACACTACCCCATCCTCGTAACAAGAACTCGTCGCAACGCAGCGTGTTGTCGGGCCTGTAGCCGTCCAGACCAGTCATGAGCAAGACGACGGGACAGGGCTGGCGCTGAGAATCCGTCGATTGGGGCAGCCGAACATACACAGGTATACTCGCCCTGTCGCGTCCCTGCTTACGCCGATGCGGGATCTCAACCTCTTCTACCGGGCACTCCCACGCGCTGGCAGCTTTGAGATATGTCTCCTTCTGCCACTGCCACGCCTTCCACTTGATGGGGCAGCTGATATCTGGGAAGGCTGTGATGTAGGGAAAACGAGCGATGCGGTAAAGAACACAAGCGCGAAGGTAGAACTGGCTTGCTTGCTTAGGGTCACCAGCCGCCGCGGCCTTGTCACCTCTAGCAATGAGACGGGCAGCGTTGGGAAAGAAAGCTTCAGTATACGGTCTCGATGTGCCGTCGTTGATGTTGTACTATCGCGGGGTCAGCTGCGTAACAAGACACCAAATACATGGCCTTCTTTACCCTGATGAGGTGCTCGAAGACATCCACAAAGTCTTCGTACTGACCGTCATGGAAAGGGTACACGCTTTTGGTGCACTAATTGCGTTGGTAAGCGGCTCTGGAGAATATAGTGCTTCAGTGGCCTTACCGGAAATCTCCACTTGGTCTCCCACAGGGCTTTGATGCCTTCATGATGTGGCATTTTCGTCTCGAACGCCTCCTTCCCCATGAGCCACGCCCTGCTCTCAGGCTCGGGCTCTTTGGCGGTTCCGTACGACATACTGAGAAGCCTGCTTAAGGATTATGAGACGACTCGGACGATTCTATGCTTTTTGAACACAGGAGTCTTGCACCTGCACTGCACAGCTGTCACTCTGTTGCTACGGCGGCGTCGTGCGATGTGCGGCTGGTGGCTGTTGCTGATGACCCTGCACCTCCATCAGCAATGCACATCATTTGGTATGCATTCAAAAGTCTGCATGCAGCTGCGACGTACTGGGATTTCAGAGAAGCGATGCGCAGTCGAGTGAGCGACCTGGCTATGTCCTCCAACATGGTGTGAGAGACGATTCGGATGTGTCTGATTATATGTAGGCCAATGGCGTTTGCCCAGATAGATAACAGCTTGGCTCGACTGCATGGCAGTCTTTACATTGCAGAGGCAAAAGACTTTCATTATAGGTTCGGAGATGTACGCTGCGTCGGACAAGTCAGGTTGGGGATATCCGGAAGTGTCCGGGGGGCAGGTGAGATCAGCCGTGACATCTGATGCTGGTAATCCAGTAGCTCAGAACAGGCGTGTCATTGGGGTGGAAAACCACGAGAGACATGTGAAAGTGCTAATCATGCGACGTGACTACATTGTCGGAACCAACTGAAGCATGTGTTGGAGGAGCTCCGATGGGGAGGTTACGCGACCAGGCGCGCTCCGTGGTTCAAAAGTTCAACCCGGGCGCTGTAAGTAGTCCAACGAGGCGTAGGCCGAATGCTCTGGCGCCGCTCAAATCGCACAGCTGAGGGATACGTGGCATGAGGGATAGTGGCGGCCCATACGTCAGCCTCGGAGTTCGACCTCAGGGAGCAACGCGAACAACGACTACAAAAGCCTTGCCATGACGGCCAGCGATTTCCTTGCGACCTTCCCTGTCATCGTGGACGCGTCGAACACATCATACAGGGCCCGACAACTTGCACTCGGCCGAAGTTTGATCGTCTATTCATTTTCGTCGCTATCCACGCCCCGTCGCAGGAAATCTTCCTCTATATTTTCGAGCCTGCAGATGCCCGAGATCAGTCGTGAAACGCCGAACAGGGTTTACGAGTGTCTAATATGTGATGACCAGATGACAGAAAGAGAAGCCAACATGTGGATGGCATGAAAACGTGTGGTCGCGTGGCAAGAACAACAGGCCGCGTCTAGGATGCCTTACTCTTGTCTCCCTCGTAGTAGTGGGCCATCTCGAGACCGGCCCGCCTGAAGCCACATTTGACGTAGAAGCCCTCGTTGGCCTCGCTGCAGTCGAGAATGCTCTTGTAGCAGCCGACCTTCTCGGCGATGAAGTCCAGGGCCTGGATGATCCTCAGGCCGAGCTTCTTGCCTTGCTGGTCCTTGGCGACCGCAATATCCTCGATATGGCCGACGAGGCCCAAGCTGTGGATGCTGTTGGAGATGGCGGTCAGGACCAAAGTACTACGCGGGAAAAGAAAAGACAAGAGCTAGCTGGCTGCTCACAATTTACGCTCTACGATCAAAGCACCGGTGCCAACGACGGCACCCCTGCTGGTGTCCTCAACCACGAGGATATAGTACCCGTCTTGCGACTGCAGCCAGTCGTAGCGCTCGCCGAACTTGTCGTCGCTGATCTCGCCGACGGTGGTCAGGACGCGCAAGCAGTCGAGGAAGCCCGTGTCGTAATCGGACTTGCGCAGGGCTCGCAGGATATAGCCCTCAGGGAGCGATGCCGCGACAGTGGGCGACAGGAGATCGTGGGAGAAAAGGCCTGCCTCAGACATGGTGCTTGTTGTGGCTGGCGTAGGCGGAGAGGGCCGTCGTGGTTGGTGTTGAGGGGCAATTCGAGTCGGTGGAGCGTACTCAAGGTGCTCAAAAACGAACGTCGAGCTCACGAGTGAGAATGGCAAGGCGCAAAACGAGACAATGGCAGAGGTAGTTTTGTCAACGAAGGCTGCAGTGTTTGTTGGCAAGTTGGAAGGGGGCTAAAACAGAAATCTGGCGCTCCCCTTCTGTCCTCGAGCGATCGTCTCCCCCAGCCAGCCAGTTGGCCGGATCGAGCGAGCTTGGAGCTGAGCCCGCCAGCACGTTCTGCCCGCGCCTCAACACACTGACTCTTGGTGGACAAGGACCTGAGCTAAGGACACTCCCGGGTGGGGAGCGCCCTGGGCGACCCCCGGAGGGCCCCTGCGGCTCTCCCGCAACAGAGCACCAGAGCACCAGGGCACCCAGGGCTCCTCGTGCTATTTATGGCTTCTTATCCGAGCCTTATCTCTAGCCAGGTCCCGTATCTTATCAGAAAACTTACCCCACTGCAACTGCCTATGACATGCTATTGCCATGCTTCTCCCCTTCCCTGCCGCCTCGAGCGCCCATCGCCTGTCTCGGAATCACATGTCGAAGGCAATCACGACTCGATTCGAAGTCAACCATTCCAGTGGCAGGCCTTCCATCAACAAGCCCACCCACACCTCCCAACGTCACGCAAGAGGACGTTGTGGCTCCATTCGAGGCACCAGGCAGTTGCAGCAGCATGGATCATGGCCTATCACCTTTTCTGCCAACTACCAGTGTAGTACCAGGCAGTTCCTCCAGTCCATACTCTCAACTTGTCTTCGACAGCAGCATACCTAGGACCTAGGATAGGAGCGTGACCCCTTCGCGATCGGAGGGACTTTCGCCACGATGGATTCTGGCGATGACCCTGAGACTGAAAAGAAAATCGTCCAGCCATCGTCAACTGGATCGGAACTTGTTCGAATCTCCTCTGAAACACAACCTGGCAGGACGGTCCTTCCCGAACCCGTCGCCAAAGCAATCAGTTTGGCCACCCGATCCAGCAGTCTCGCGCTTCGTGTGGGAACTCTCATCACTTCGTATGGGTTCGATGCCGCCAAATTCACGACCTTGTCGAGCCTGGAGCTCGGCCGTGGCATCCTCGAAGGAATCCTCCACCGAGCTGGACAAAATGCCATCGCACGGTCACAGTCCACCTTGGCCCGCGTAGATGCCGAGACTGTCATCGAACGGAGTCTCGAGAGCCTGCACATGGCCATGTCCCAGATCGTGTTCTGGACGACCGCCGGTTTCTATGTTACCGAAACGACCTTTTCCGCTGGTTCGCAGATAACGCAGCTGCTTCTGTCGTCCATGGACCAGTTCTTCGGCTCCACAGACTCGTCCCGCGCAATCGCCAGCATCATCACGCTGGTCCGCCGTGAGTTTCAGAACCCAGCAACCGGCCACAGTGGTCAGAAGGTTGGCGTCACGGATCTCGCCATGGGGATCTGTGCATTGGCATATCTTCAGCAGAAGTGCTGGAAACTCCCCGATGAGGAAAGACGCCGAGCGCCTCAGGAGGAGATTGTTTGGGATATCGTCGTTCTCAGCGATGGCGAACGAGTCGACGTCCACGAAGACAGCCTCTATGGCATGCACAAGGGTCGTTACGAGCCAAAGGGGCCCGGCATCCTTGTTTCCAAACCCGGACCCTCTCCTGGCCCAGACCTCATTGCGACGCTGAAGCGACACGCCAGCCAAGACAGTGGTGACGAGGATGACTATCTCTCCCCCGAAAATCGTCTTCGAGACCAAATCATGCAATCTCTACCCGCCGACACGAGCGTTTCTATCACAACATCTACACATACGCAGAAGACCATCACTGTTGAATTCACTGGCGCCGAATCGCCCGCACTGTCCCCACCCCCCGGTGTTGAGCTTGTTGAGAGAGAATTCATCCCTGCGGCCGATGCTCGAAGAGACGTGTTTTCGAGTACCACCGGCGGTGCGGTCACCGATCAAATCACGCAACGTGTGGTGTACAAGTTCGACAAGACGATGCTCCGGAGTACGGCCTGTCGAGGCTACGACCAGTCTCCGAATGTGCCTGGATCAGTGGCCGAGATTGATGTTCTTCTTGACGGGCCAGACAATCCACCTCCACAGCTACCAGAGCGTCATAAGGCGCTAGAAGAACCACCCCCTATTCCGCCGCGGCGGCGCAACTCAAAAGCTTTCGAGGAACTCGCTACAAGTCCAAGGTCAGAGCAGACCATGACCCCTCCTGCGTCAGACTCTTTCCACAGACAAACCTCCCGCAAGGTGTCTGACTCCGTACTCGACATTGTGAAGCCCCAAATCAACACACTTTCCGACAACGGATCAAATCAGAAACGCCAGCGTGCTCCGTTAGGGCCAGTTGGCACGAAGCGTAGCTCTGAACCTTCGCCCCAGGCTGAGGAGCCTCTCTCGGCCAAACCGCGATTGACCAAGTCCAAGACTGAGCCCATCAAAGACGGCAAGTTGCCCCCGAAGAAGACGGGTGTGCGACAAGCTCTGAAACGAGCTCCAGGTTCTAGTATGTCCAGTCTCTGGAGTCGAGATACACATGATGCAACTGCCGCGACGGCCCCTTCAACAAACCCAGCACCGAAACCAAAGCCGGCGTCAACTTTGAAGAAGCTTGTCAGCCCAACTAACCTACCCCATCGTCCTTTTAATCGAGCAACAGGACCGACTGTCTCGTCCAATCTCCGCGATAAAGGGCCCTTCGATGACCATGCCGAAAATCCTCGCAGCTCATCTCGGGCAGGCTTCATTTCGATTCACGAACGTCGCCGGGATTCGGTTGTATCTCAAACTGATACTTACTCGATGCACTCCATGGACAGTCTTAGGCCGGAATCCCCCATGCTTGCCCGGCGATCACCGAGCGCCTTGGGCAAGGCGTTTCCAGAGTATGATGCAAGTGAATTTGGCTCCCCCGCCTCACCTAGAGCCAATCGCATGAGGCAAAGAGGACACACTCCCAGCACCAGCCTCTACAGCATAGCAACGAATGGTTCGCAAACCTCCCTGGTCTTGGCAGCGAGGCATCCGAAGAGTGCCTACACAGATTCGGAGGCCATCGAAACGTTGCGATGTGCCGGCGTTGTAGATGGAATGTTCCCAGCAAAACATTTACTTCGCAACATCACACGCTTCATGCTTTACTCATCTGCCGCATATGGGTCGGGATTCCTCAAGTTCATGAGGATCTCGAGGAACTTACCCATCCTCAAAGCCATGGACGAGACGCATCATGAAATACGATCATTTGCTCATCACACGGGGTCCAAGGCTGAAGACGTTCTCATGGCTTCTTTCGTCGATTCTCACGGCGGGTCCGACACGACAGGTGCAACTGGTACCGGGGTGCCCCTAGTCCATTATATCTCTCTCGATCATGAATCCAAAGCGGTAGTGCTGGCCTGCCGAGGTACCTTGGGCTTCGAAGACGTTCTAGCTGATCTCGCTTGCGACTACGATGACATGTCGTGGCGTGGGAAATCATATCAAGTTCACAAAGGCGTGCACGCATCAGCACGACGACTTCTTTACGGTGGCGACGGCCGAGTCTTGTACACGCTTAAAGAAGCACTCGACGAGTTTAGCGACTACGGCCTCATCCTCTGCGGCCACTCCTTAGGGGGCGCCGTGACAGCCCTCCTAGGCACCATGCTCGCCGAGCCGAGTCCAACTGGCACGGGGTTCGTGACCTCTGCCGAACCACACCACCGCCTACTCACATACGAGTCCTCGGCCACAGCGGGTTCCGGTGGTACGACGCACGTCTGCCTCCCCTCAGGCCGGCCCATACACGTCTATGCCTACGGCCCGCCGGGCACAATGTCTCCCGCCCTGCGCAAGGCTACACGTGGCCTCATCACAAGTATCGTCCACGGCCACGACCTCGTACCGTACCTCTCACTCGGCGTCCTGCATGACTTTCAAGCGGTGGCGCTCGCCTTCCAGAGCGACAGCACCGACGCCTCCCGCTCTGAGGCCCGCCGGCGCGTATGGCAAGCTTCCAACACGGACTGGCCGACAAGTGGTACGCCACCTCCACCGCCAGCTTGCCCGAGAATGACCAGTGGGCACTGACGGCGCTGGGCTCCTTGAGGAGGAGCATAGTCGGCACCAAGCTCGTGCCGCCAGGGGAGGTATTCGTGGTCGAGAGCTCGAAAGTGTTGCGGAGGGATGCCTTTGTGCTCGCTGAGGAGGTGGACATCGGGCGGCCGGCGAAGAGAGTCGTTCTTAAGTATATCCGAGATGTTGAGGCGCGATTTGGAGAGGTGCGGTTCGGGACTAGCATGTTGATGGATCACAGTCCGGCCAAGTATGAGGAGGCGCTGCGGAAGTTGCGGCTTGGGGTGGTCGACGCAGGATACTAGTCGGCAAGACGAGGTGTATGTTCGCGTTTTGATTAGGGAGCACATGGATGGGTGCGCTCAGGTCAAGGGTACAATAGAGGGCATGCACACAGAGGCCATCAAGATGCATGCAGGCACAGAAAAAAGGTCATTATTATTTTTCATTTCGTACAACTTTTCCCCTCTCGGGCCCTTACTCTTGGGGCTTCTCCGTGACGATCTTGCCGTCCTTTGTGTAGAAGATCTCCTTGACCTTGACGGAGCGGAGGTGGTCGACGCCCTTGCTGAGCTCGCAGTCGTGGTGGAACAGCCACCACTGGCCCTTGAACTCGACGATAGAGTGGTGGGTGGTCCAGCCGAGGACGGGCTCGAGGATGCAGCCGCCGTAGGTGAAGGGGCCGAGGGGGCTGTCGCCAGTGGCGTAGCAGAGGTAGTGCGAGTCGCCGGTCGAGTAGGAGAAGTAGTAGGTGCCGTTGCGCTTGTGGACCCAGGCGGCCTCGAAGAAGCGGCGGTCGTGGTCGTCGCCGAGGATGGGCTTGCCCGTGTCCGGGTCCAGGATCTGGATCTCCTGGACCTCGCCGGCGAACTGGTGCATGTCGTCGGTCAGCTTGGCGACGCGGGGGCCCATGGCGACGACGCCGTCGCCCGAAGGCTCCTTGGGGCCCTGCCACGCCGGGTCGAAGGCGTCGTTGCCCTTCTGGTAGCACTGCAGCTGGCCGCCCCAGAGGCCGCCGAAGTAGAGGTAGCCCTGGTTGTCGTCGTCGACGAAGGAGGCCGGGTCGATCGAGTAGGAGCCCTTGATGGGCTCGGCGTCGGGCTTGAAGGGGCCCTCGGGCCTGTCGCCGACGGCGACGCCGATGCGGAAGATGCCCTCCTTGTCGCGCGCGGGGAAATACAGGAAGTACTTGCCGTCCTTGAAGGCGGCATCGGGGGCCCAGAGCTGTTTGGACACCCAGGGCACATCCTCCATCTTCAGGACGACGCCATGGTCGACAGGCTCCTCGGTGGGGTCCAGCGAGGAGGTGCTGAAGACGTGGTAGTCGGCCATATCGTACTGGTCGCCATTGTCGTTGAACTGAATGTCAGTTTCTCGGTCGTGCGACGGGTAGATGTAGACCTTGCCCTCGAAGACATGGGCTGACGGATCTGCCGTGTAGATGCCGGTGATGAGAGGCGCCATGGTGGATGGTGAATAAGGGACAAACCGGGGGGGAGTGAATGTTGCTGCCGTTTGGGGGCAGAGGAGACGCAGCTGAAGTACTTATGAGAAGCTCGAGCTCGTCAAGGTTCACAGTTTATCGTTGAACCCGAGAGAAAGATGACATGAAGCTGCGAAGTGTGAACGAGAGAGCTTCAGTTGAAGGTCGATGGCGGGGTTTAAGGTGCCCCTCGTTCTGTTCCCCCATTCCATCACGTCTCGGCTTCGTCAGGGACCCATTACCCCAAGTGGGTGCGGATGATGTTGCGCTTGGCGATGGGGGCAGGGTGGCATGCGGGACGAGACGCCCAGTGCCCATTTACCCAGCGCATTTTCCCGGTTTACCCCCTCCACTGTTGTGGGCATGTTGAGCCACCAAATGCCGCCATGGTATACGGATGGAGCCTGCTAGTCAGCCCGGGAACTGGGTCACCCTCGTCGCAGGGCACTTGGGGTCGAATTGAGGTTCGAAGAGCCGATCAAGCTTGTTGCGCCGCCTGCCATGTGTCTGGTTGAAATGAACGAGCCAGTGGATCTCACTCACCCGCCGACTTTAGCCGGCCGGGCCTTGGGAGTAGCCCTCCACCAAGGGTTTGGCAGATCTGCTGATACTGCAGCGGGATGCCGCTTGAAATCCGCAAACGGGACGTCAGGATGCCTCGAGAAGCAGCCCGACGTTGCCGGCGCAGACGCAGGACATGCAATGCTTGCTTTGGGGCCCATGCAAGTCGCCTTCAGCATAGTAGAACAGGGGGCTCATGCAGCTGTTGCGCCTGGCGTTGAGGCTGAATATTACCAACTTTGCCGAGATGTCGATGGTGGACGCAAGCCAGGAGGATCACGGCAGCTGCGAGCTTGCGGCAAACTAAAAGTCCTGAATGCCTGTCTCTCCGGACTTGGCGGGTTGCTGTTCTTCGGGGTCGCCGCTTTCGCGGTCACTCGCCCAGCCCGGCTCCTCGTCTTCGAACCGCGCGTCTTCGGCATCACGTCGCTCCAGGACATCGAAGGCCTCGTTAAAATCGACCTTGTCATAGTCAAAATCATCGTCATGGCCGTGGACGAAGCGTCGCGTCAAAAACTGATGCCACCTCTCTCTTGCCTCGTCCATGTCTGCGGGGGCGGTGAGGTCCGCATCGACCGTGGCCATGTCGACGAAAGCCGGTGGCCCCGGTGAAGATGCAGACGGCTCGGCAGTACTTTGAGCAATCTCGGCCATGCGTGCCTCTCCTCTCAAGAGATCCCCTTCTAGGACGCGGGAGTATCCCTTACGTTTGCCCTCGGCCTCGCGTTCCGCAGGCGTTTGGTACTGACGAACGAGCTTTTCGTACAGTACTGGGTCTGAGATGCAGCGACAATCAGGATACTGATGAAGTCATGACGAGCAGGATCGCAGAGAAGGCAGAGGACAAGGAGCACCGCGGACAGACAGCCATGGTGGTGGAAGAGCTGGAAACATACCTGCAAACTCGTGCTCTGTGCTCTCTAGGTACTCTGGATGTGCCTCAAGGTAATGCCTTCGTCGGTTTTGCGTGCGGATCTCCCTCGTCCTGGCGTCCGATTTGGGTGGTCTAGGCACAGGCTTGTCGAGGGCCAAAGATGAGCTCGGGGGCTGTGAGCCGGGCTCTGGAGTTGGCGACATGACGTACGGCATGTCTTCTTCAAGATGATCAGAGAAGATCAAGTGGGATCTGGTGATAGACCGTGGCGGTTGTCACAAAATTGGGTGTTGAATGTTGGACGGAATCAGGTTTCGGAGTGTGTACTTGTAGCGGCTCACAAGGAACGGCAGTGGGTCATTGGGACAAGATACCGAAGGCCTTCTGGCGGACTAATCTCGGATAACCGATGCGCAGGCTCAGAACACTCGTCATGAGCGACCTGCGAGTCCAACCTCATCTCTCCAAATCAAGCAAACGCATCTCATTGTGCGACTAGAACAATTCAAACTGGTGAAAAATTTGAAGTCAAATGGCACTATGTGAAGAATGCTTGTAGATGACAAGGATGCAGCTTCAGCCGCTGGCGCCGGGATACACCATGATTGCATGTACAGAGGCAGAAACCAGAGTTGTTCTTTTGGGTCATGATCTCGGGCTGTATTATGTTCAAGGGGCTGAGCGCGCATCAGGATCGTAGGACAAGATCCGGAATCTATTGTTTGGCCCCCATACCCTCAGCTAGGAACGATATAACATCCGTTGGAAAAGTGTTTACTGCTTTTCAATGGCGGCTGTTATATGTCTGTAACTAGCTTGAAATCACAGAGTTCCCAAGGACTTGTAATCTTAACACCATTGAATCGCCAAGAGCTGAGATAATAGATCAAGTGCTAGATGGTGCAGCAAGACATTTTTATCAATGCACCCAAACCACATACCATTGACGACGACTTTAAGCTTCGAAGCATTCACTGGTTTTTTATTTCCATTGTATCACTATAACCTCACTGTGCCTGTAAAAGACACCTACAAGCCGATCCACCAGTACGTCTCGTCGATCTTGAATGACCCCCTGACGGCTTTGTCCGAGACGGTACTGCTGTCAGACACAATGACCTCGTATTCACCAGCCTCGACACACCACTTGTGGCGGGACTCATCCCAGTAGGCGGCGGCGTATTTAGTCAACGCCTCGACGGTGACGCTCTCGCTCTGGCCGGGCTCAAGGGCGACCTTGGTAAAGCCCTTGAGCTCCTTGATGGGGCGGTTGACGCGCGCCTGCTGGCTGGGGGCGATGTACACCTGGACGACCTCTGCACCACGCACGCCGCCCGTGTTCCTAACCGTGACCTCAACGATGAGCTTGCCGTCGGCCACTGCGGTCACCGAGACGTCGGAGAAGGAGAAGGAAGTGTAAGACAGGCCGTGGCCAAAGGGGAAGAGCACGGCACGGTCGGCAAATTCGTAGAAGCGGTATCCGATATAGATGTCTTCACCATAGAGGGTGCGGGAGTTCTCAGCGCGGAAGTTGAGGAAGGCCGGGTTATCCTGTAAGCGGCGAGGGAAGGTGAGTGGCAATTTGCCCGACGGGTTCACATCACCAAAGAGCACGTCGGCGATGACGTTGCCCGTCTCGTTACCACCGTACCACGCCTGAACGAGTCCGGCGATATCGTCGAGCCACGGCATCGTCACGGGCGTACCGGACTGGTTGACGACGATGGTGTTGGGGTTCGCCTTAGCCACTGTAGAGATAAGCTCGTCTTGGAGGCCGGGGAGGCCCATGGTGACGCGGTCGTAGCCTTCCGTCTCCCAATCGGCATTGAGTCCCGCGCAGATGATCACCTGGTCAGCGTCCTGAGCGAGCGCGGCCGCCCTCGCAATCTCCTCTTCGGCGTTTATAACCTTGCAGCCACCAATACGGAGGGCGCCGCTACCGACGACAGTATTGTTACTCTTGAGCTTAGAGGAGGGTGACGAGGCAAACTCGACCCGGAAGTCATACGTCTCGCCCTTCTTGAGGGGGATAGTATTCTTCTCTTCAACCGTCGCGGTGCCGAGGAAGGCGTCGCCCTGGCGTTGCTTCGTAGCATTGTCGATTATGAGCTCGTCATTCACAAAGAGCTTGGCCGAGCCACACACAATCAGGCCCAGCTCAAAGTCGCAATCCTCCTCGGCAGTAAACGAACCCTCAAACTCGGCATACCACAGCTTGTCCTCAATCTTTTCATTATAGTAGTCGGACAGAAGCATCTCCGACCTGGACAGGACTCGGTCGTCGACGACAACGCGGTCCTCGGTGCCTGGAGGCTTCGTATAGGCCTTCATAGTCATGCCCTGCTCGCCCGACGCCGTCTTGGTAACGTTGGCGAGCAGCGGCAGTAACTTGTGCGTATAGGCGCCCGCTGCATAGCAAGGGGGCGACTCGAGCTTCTCGCTGATGCCTTCGAAGGGGGTAATGGCATAGTAGGCGGGAACGGCCGCGGAGCCGCCGCCCTGGTATGTGGCGATCTTTGCGTTGGGGCCGATCAAGACCGTCTTCTTGTTTTTCTTGAGGGGCAGCACGTTCCTATCGTTCTTGAGGAGAACAAGCGTCTCACCTCCGATACGGCGCAGCAGCTCCGCCGTCTCGGGTGAGTCGTCGGTCATCTCGGGGGCATTCTCGGGGATGCCCAAGGCCATGGCTTTCTTCACAAAGTTGAGGATGGGCCGCGCGCGTTCATCGATTGTGTGTTCATTGATCTTATCGGTGGCTACGTTGAACTTGAGCAGGTCGCCACGGAACTTTGAAGGACCAGGCATCTCAAGGTCGAGGCCAGCGTTAACAGCGTCGTTAGTTGAGTAAGTGCCGTACTATATACCCGCCCACCTGTCAGTCATGTGTGGTTCCAGGTAAGGGAAGAGAGGAAAAGCTTCGGAGCAACCGACCCAGTCAGACATGATCATGCCTTTCCATCCCCATTCCTTGCGCAAGATTGTGTCGAGGATGTCTCGGTTCTCACTACAATATGCATTATTCAATCCGTTGTAGCCCGTCATGATCGCTCCAGGGTCAGCATCGCGCATCGTCAGCTGGAAGGGAAGGGCATAGATCTCGCGCAGGGCGCGCTCAGTGACGATGGACAATACCGCGTTACGGCGATGTTCCTGGTCGTTACAGATCCAGTGCTTTGGCGTCGAGAGAACTCCCGTCCTCTCGATGCCACGGCACAACGCGGCCGCGCCCAGGCCGGCGAGTATGGGATCCTCGCCGATGGACTCAAAGCCGCGGCCACCCACGGGGGCCCGCTGCATATTGATGGCCGGGGACAAGAGACAGTGCGCGCCTTTGAGCTTGGTCTCCTCACCCATCTTGCGGCCGGCCTCCTCGAGAAGCGTCGTATTGAAGGTGGCACCTAAAGCGGTGCCGCAGGGGAAGCAGGCCGCCTTGACGCCATCGAAAATCTTGGTGCCACGAACGCCGTTCGGACCGTCAGAGAGTCGGATTGACGGAATGCCATGCTCGGGGAGTGGTCTAGTATGCCAGTAATCGAGGCCTAGAAGATGTCAGTGCTTGTTCTCAACCAAGCCGTTTGCCGCGAGAGTAGCCGTACCTGTTAGCAGATCAATCTTTTCATTGACGCTTAGCTTCTTGATTAGAGCCTCGACATCTATGGTACCTGACATGTTGGGTATTATTGAGAGGAAACTGAAGGGGAAATCGAAAGGTATTGGAAGTTGGGCGGTTGGGCGATAGAGAGAGTGAGTCGTCCCGGCGTATTCGAGCCAAAGCTCAAGGATGGTTATGGGGGTTTGATATCGGGCGTTTGGATGGATCAAGAGTGAAGCTGTCTCCCTCTACTTCTGAGGGGGTTATTCGTCCTTAAGTACATGGCGATATTACTGTTCTAGAGGCGAGGAAATGAGGCCACATCTTACCCCCGGTTGATGGTGTCGTAGCTTCATCGACGACCATTGGAGGCGATGTCAAGTGATGGCGGCATGCTGCATCACCAGTCACCAGCTAGTCAATTGATGACACGGGGGATCGCTTGAGTGGCCAGCTCGTTTACCGGCGCCGCAGAATACGGTTTCTTGTCTTCTTACCCCGCGATTGCCACTTGCGAAGACAAATTCCGACGTCGTCGTCCCGACAAAGTGCTGGCGGGAATCCCAATTAGGAAGATCCCGACGCCCCTCCCCGCCGCAACCAATGCCCTGTGCTGTCGAGAACGTCTGGAGCAAAGAAGACGAGTGCAAGTTCCCTGACGAAGGAAGCCCGTTGTTTAATTTGAAGATGACGGTATATGTTTCTGCAGCCCTGACACCTTAACGGGTGGACGCCTCCCAGGTGGAGGTGGAGGAAGGGCGTGATCATGTGGAGATGTGGTCTCCGAAGCTGTCCCGTGGAGTCCACGTGGTCTGCCGTGTCTTGTCGGCGTTGGTCATGGTTCTGAATGTCTCGGTAGCTCTGCAGCAAGTGAGAGTTTGCTGACTTTATGGTACGATGAAGTCTGCGCTCGATCTGATCCGGTCATGATGCCTTCTGGTTGGGACTGAAACGTCGGTTCTTGTCATCTGACCTCATAACATGGTTGAGTTGTGGACGTGATGCGGCAACATCGTCTTCTTAAGTCCAGTAATAATGTCCTATATATGGAGAGTCCCGTCTTCTCGGTTCGCATCCGTAGGTGGGTGGCGCTTTGTTGCTGAGTTAGTCACTCGTAGAGTTGGAGGATCTTGGTTGGCTATGGTGTGTATTGTAAGGAGGTCCTACGTCACGTCTCTCAAGTCCATTTCTCTCGCCGTACCTTTTTGGCCACTTGTGTCTCCATGTTTCAAGTGTCGATTGGGGGAAGTAGAGCCTGTATCCTTTGGCCTACTGAAAAGCCCCAAGTCTCAGCTCAGATTTAGGTACTAAAGAATCGCTCACCGCTGGCAGCGGAACCTCCAAGAACCTCGGGTTTGCACCCGGCATTTCCGCCAACACATCGCAGTTGTAAGAAATGCTCCCTGCCGTCATCCCACGGATGCATCTCTACCTGCTAGACGAACCCCTCTTCCCGTAAGTAACTCGGATAGTCCCACCTTCCGGTTCGAGTCAATTAAGTAACGCAATGCTGCCTATGACTCGAGGTTCATTGCAAGACTATTTTTCTTTTAGTATGAGATTAACTCCTAGCTTTACAGTATAACTGCTATATCAGGCCGCTCCTACACAACGCCCTTAAGCAGTAACATGTATGTAGACGTTTGAGGCATTATTCCAGGCGATTAACGGCACACAATGCCACCGCTGGGGACCTGTTTACCCTGTCGACATGTGAAAGCGTTACAGTACAGTGGAATTCGGGATGGGTCATATTTCCACGCTCTTAGAATATCTGCAGACAAATGTTTGTGGTTGACAGTAAAGTCCGCGCAATCCTAGACACGTTTGTGGAGAACAACGCAATTTCCATACTGCTGCCGAAGCTACCTATGCACTACCTATGCAAATGATGCCGCCTTGCTTGTCTCCTCAACTAATTTCCAGTGGCCATAGCCGATTTCGGGCGCAGCGTAGAGGTCGTCCGCAGACGGCCACACAGGAGTGCGATTTTTGTTTCTCTTCCTGGTCGATTCGGGCTTTTCTCCAGCATGAGTCGCCTCCCTGAATGCCATGCTCTCCGGATCAAGCACATAGCCGTGGCAGGCAACATGTGTACCCTTGTGCAGCTGCTCGTCGTCTTTTTAGCAGAGAGTGACATGAAGGCCCTTCGGGTCTTGTTGACGGATACCATTGATGGAAGTCGTGGCATGAAGCTCCGATCTTGGTGGTTCTCAGCATCTGACTCGGATGATGCTTCGCTCAGGCATCCAATGGAACATGGATTTGTGGAGAGTGCCTACCGGATGAAGACTGCCCGTGGGTATAGCTGTCTGTCTCTTGCGGTCTGGTATGCCAAGACTACCAACTGTTGCATTCGCTCTGCAGTCTTGGGTATATGATCTTTGTGGAAATAGTATTTAACGATATTGTGACAGTCGATTCCCGGCCATGGACTGAAAAGTCGATGCTTCGTCTCATCCACGAACACAGTTTTTATTCGGACAATGAGGGCCTCTATATATGTCTTCGTCGCTTCAACTGTTCCTTTCATGCTTCGATCGACTCTCATGCTCACGGCAACGCTAGCTTGGTCCATTTCTGATGATAGTCGGACGTCGACCTTTGTTGCAGACGCGCGCGCCAATCTAAGCTGACTGTCATGAAAAGGAATTCGTATCTAGTTATGAGAGCGCCTCACATATAAACGTTGTCTCTTTAGCGCGTATGGGTTTCAGGTCGTTGAGTTAGACCATCCATGTGGTGGTGCGAAGCATGGCTGTTGGTGACTTTCGGGAATCAACTTCCAACAACGTGGGAACGGTCCAAGTTTAGTAAGCGGGTCAAATGAAAATAGTTGGTAAAGGTGCCTGTAGTTGGACGGTTGGGGGCCCATTCGACCCGTAGCCCCAACCATCAGCGGCTACCATCTTCAGTGGAGGCAACTTTGACCAACCCACGCGCTTATCAGCAACCAAACATCGACCAACCTCTTCCGGGCGCTGGAATGCGTGATTCAAACTTCTGTAGAATCGCAAGGCGATGGCTGGCTTCCAACCCCCAATCAATCCTTGCGATTTTATGCTACAAAAACAGACACCTCTTATCGACCATGTCAACAATGTCAACTTCGCCCTATGAGCACATCGACGACGTCGAAAGACTCGAATACTATCGGCCAGGGGGATACCATCCCATTGAGATTGGTGACAGGCTTTGAGACCGATATACTACAGTACACAAACTCGGTTCTGGCAGTCACTCGACCCTTTGGCTGGCTCGGGACGAACAACTGTCCAAGTATGTCGCGCTTAAAGTGGCCACGGCGGACCACAACTCCAAGGAGATCGACCTATTGAGCCAACTGTCCGCCCTTGCCGATGAAAACGCGCAGGATCCCAGAAATTTTATCCCCTTGATATTGGATCGCTTCAACCTCGACGGGCCAAATGGAACACATCCGTGCTATGTCACTGCGCCGGCAAGATGCAATCTCGCTGAAGCCTTGGACCCAGGCTGTGGCCCGTTTCCGCTTCGAGTCGCCAGATCACTTGCCACCCAGCTTGCCATGGCGGTTACGTACGTCCATCATTCGGGTTATGTTCACGGGGGTGAGTACACGTACTTGGTCCTGCTAGTCATTCCTGGCTATCTCTAATGCTTGGAAGACATTCATATGGGAAACATCCTTCTCCGGTTGCCAAGTCTTGATCATCTTACCGTCGAGGAACTATACGGAGAATTTGATCAGCCAGAGCCTGAACCTGTCGTCAGAGTTGATGGACAGCCACTCCCACCAGGTGTCCCACCCCACGTCTATCCGCCGATCTGGCTCGGCAAACCTGGCGACGAAGTCACTCTCCCTGAAGCCAAGCTCGTCCTCGCCGATTTTGGGACGGCGTTCTGCCCTGCACAGGAATCAAGGTTCGAGTTCTACACGCCACTCCAGATCCGTCGACCTCAAGCAAGATTCGAGCCGATAACGCCCCTGTCGTATGCATCTGATATCTGGAGCCTCGGGTGTGTCATTTGGGGGATCCTTGGAGTGAGACCATTCCTTGATAACTGGCATATTTGGGCCAGATGACGCCACGGCGGATCAAGTCAATGCCCTTGGACTGATGCCGGATGAGTGGTGGGAGACGTGGGAGGGGAAATCAAAACTATTTAGCGATAATGGGAAGCCAAAGGAGGGACGCAAGGTGTGGACTTTTGATCAGCGATTTCAAGATGCGATCCAGGGGCCAAGAAGAAGAAGGGGACTGGAGGTGATGGATGATCCGGAAAGAGATACTCTGTTCAAGATGATACGGGGCATGTTCGTTTTTAGACCTGGTGATCGTCTGAGCGCAGATGAAGTGCTGCGATCGGACTGGATGAGGACGTACGCGATTCCCGAAGCCGAGGAGACTTGAGACCGAAGGTTGCTCTGCAACGACCTCTCATCCACAAATGCATAGGTTCCCAGCTCGAGCTAGAGGCGCTACAGCCTGATCGTGTCGTTCTTTACCGGACACTCTCGAGCCGCATGTTCTGGCACGCAGTAGCCACCTGTTGTCGTTGTTTCCCACTAGGCTCCTATATAGTTGTATCTTATTGCATCTCAAGCATTGCCTGACGACACTGTTGATTACATAGCTCATATTATACTAACTCGCCTTGCTTGGGAAGTATAATACCATTACTAGCAGTATTTCACGTACTGTTAGCTTTTTGTATCTATTACAATAGTTCTGATTATAACTCTTTTGTTGATTCAACCTTGTAAGTAGTTGCTTTACAGATTCAGTATGCTGAAGCGACTAATAATAATGAGATATTTTCAGCATGCAGCAGCGCCATACTTATAATCTAAAGCTGTATAGTTAGGGTAGGCAAAACCGGCCGCTTCTACTAAATCGGAAAACGGAGCCCTGTCCCCGTGTCCAGATACATAGCTTTATTATAATTAGACGTCAATGCGCCGAGATGTAATATAGCGTTCTACTCACATTGAATGAAGCGGAACGCGATCTCTAACATAATCTGCCAAGGCCCCAAACAAGAGGGACTGATCATTGAGAAGCAAGCCGTTTGTTGGGTTGGCATCGTCGGCGTCGAAGATAACCGAGGTGCTGCTGTTGGTTGAACACTTGGGTGACGCCAAAGAGTAACTATAATCGATGCAGTGGACAGACTGCTTCATGTGCACAAATGTGACCTGCATGTGGCTGTCTGATAGAATGAAAGGCTTATCCGTTCTTGGCTTTGATTTAATATCTCGAGTGAACTACAATATTCTGGAAGATTGCTTACGAATATGTAATGAATTGATTATTTGGAACTTGCGTGTAGTAGTCGCGGGCAAAGTTCAAGACAATGACTTTGGCTCCAGCGTTGGCGTAGTCGTTTTCTCTAGAGACATGATCGTGGTGGTGATGGGAAGGCTTTGCTCCCCCGGATGGTTGTCAAATTTATGCTTCGCTTCCTCATTTTCGGATTGATGACGTACCCAAACATAGCCAACCGGCTTTTTAAGTACTTCTTCTACCCATTGAATCACGAAATGACTCTGGTGCGCTGGACAGTCGAGCACTATCGCGTACGTGTCCATTTCCCAGACAACTTGTCTGTACGCTTCGGCATCTTCAAAGATCAACAGCCAGACACCTGGCAGGTCGGGATATGGGTTAATTGCAGTGAGGTTCTTCAATATTCCGCGGTAGGCACCGGCCCATACGTGTATTCCGTAGAGCTCGGAAATCTCGGACCAGTCGTAGGAGTTGTCGCGCATTGGCAACTGATGCAGCTCGCGCGGAGTCTGAAGCTGCGGTAAGGATACTTTTGTGTTCGTCATGATTTCTGCTACAGAGTAATCTTCGTACACTCGGTACTCATTATATATACCTTTGAATCGCCTCGGAAAGTGAACACCATTGACGTCGATGTAATCTTGAAGCATCAGGTCGCGAGTTGATCTTCCAAACATGCCATGGTTCTCATAAGGACGGATGATGTATGGAAGTTTTGTGCTTGGGTCTATAATGACCGACACATCTAGAGAGTGATCATAGACTAAAGGAGTAAGCTTCGAGTGGTCAAACAAAGACTTTTGCGACTCACTAGACGTCATTTCGACTCCCGACCCGATCAGCTCTGTAGAAAGACTGAAATTACCATTGGATAGAATCTGTGAGCTTAGCTAGAGATTCCAATAGGCGCAAGCTGGCGAGATCTAACTGTCAACATGAGTAGAGGGGACATCTTTTCAGCTTGATTGGTTAAGTAAGCAGCAAGGAGTCCTAAGCTCAGTTAGCTGAGCTCCGCAAATATCGATATGAATACCACGATTCACCATCAACATAGCCCGAAGGTGGTGCTCCAATTACAGACTGAGGCGAGCGCATTGCCAAGAATTGACACCATTGAAGGAGCGGCCTTTGCATCCTCAGCACGGCCCCGACGGCAGCCGCTTAGTTATCAGTGCTGGCTTTCTGTTCTGTCGGCAACCTCATTCAATCATTTCTCGGTGCTCGTTTAGGTATCATTACCCGTGGGCACGGGATCATTATGAAGAGACTTTCTTTAGGTATCATTGCACAAATCATTTCTTAGACGGTAGCGATTGGAATATCACGATGTCTATGTTTGCTGACGAAATACTTCCTTCGTTTTGTGGCGCAGAGGCGTCGAGAGGCAAGAGGGTGCCCGCGCCGTGTTCGCCAAGAGATTTTCGAGCTACTTATGCGATAAGTGCACCATCATTTGATCACCCCAAAGTAGCTATGTAGATACGGGGTTTTTTACATAGTGATCAATTGAACTTATTACCCAAATAAATACTACCATCGGACGGCCTCGATCCACGAAGGTACGAGGTAACTGGTGCTGTAGGGTGATGTCAGGCGACCCTGCGGAGCCACCAGGAGTCGCCAAGCAGGGGTTCGACTAGGGGCTAAGGGCTACGAGAGAACGAATATATATAAGCTGCGGAGGGCCCAAATTCAGATGTATTCCGACCCCATACCTATCTTTTAACTATCTGCGGACCCTGTGGAAGACCCCTTCACTCTGCTCTAAACCACCCACTGACAGGTGTTGACCTCCTACAACATACAAGGGCCCGTTCACCTCCCTTTCGAAAGTATGCCGTCGCGTTTCATTTTCTGCTTAAAATCCGCTTTCGGACCCTTATCCTTTCATACTCAACAACGATACTCCAGCAGCTTCTTTGTTGAGCCAGATGAAGAATATGGAAAGTTTATCGCTCGAAGAAAGGTGTGGGTCACTACCACAGTGATATTGTGACCAGAAATAGGGTTTACTAATCGCAGAGAGTGTATGAATCACTCATCACAACCACCACCAAGTCCACGGCTCAGGACTCTCAGATACTGCCGAGATCAAGCCTTAGGATGATTTTCCCATGCTTGTATCCATTGTTTAGAACAGCCAACAGAGCAGGGTTCAAATCCGATAGCTCAATATCATCCACCAGTCATATCTTACATCGTTGAATTGGCTTTCATTACATTTCTGCTTTATCAAGGATATCCGGGCCGCGACCCATCCTCACATTAGGCTCAAAAGCTTACCATAGCTCACATGTTGGATCCTTCTTGGGGCAGTTGAAGGCTTCTAGGAAACCAGTCGAGTTCGCAACCGTGTACAGAATACTCGCACGGTCAGGCGGATGGCTCCCGCCAATACTCTTTTCCAAGACTTCTGGCTGTGACTTGCTACACCATCTGTTACCGAAGGCAACGAAAAACAGCTGCGCGGGTGTGAAACTTTCGAGAGCAGGGAGGCGTTGGCTAGGCGCTTCAGCCTCACGCTTTTTCCATACTCGGAACGATGTTGCGAGCTGCAGCAAGATCTGCCAGATTAATGCCCATAGAAAGGTCACCAGTTGGGGAAGGACTCACGCCACCAGCATCAGCGATGGTTTCGGCTTGGGTACTTATTCCAGTGATGTTCTCGGCTTTTCCATCCGAGTTGATGATCTGATACTGGTCATATTGATCGATGAAACACTGTGCTCGCTTTTCGAAATCAACGATTGTGGCGTTGTCCCACCACTCCACCTTGTTTCCCAACTCATCGTAGTGACGACCAAAGTTGTCAAACCCGTGGCTGATTTCATGGCTCGCAAGCATGCCCTGGGAGCCATAGTTGACGTACTCGGGATACCGTAAGCCGAAAAAGGGCGACTGCATAATCCCAGCCGGAAACACGATCTTGTTTTGCTCGTAAATATGATAGGCATTTACCTCGGCCACCTGTAGTGAACAGTCAGTGCTCCTGCAGTAAAGTGAATAGGTGATGGATGCTCGGGCTACGGTTTCGTACTGTGAACAACCATCCATCATTATCCTTCGGGGCAAGAAGAATCAGCCAGTTCTTGTTCCTTAGGGAAACTGACAAAGCCACAGAATTTTCGAAATACGCCCCCTGGCTGATATTCAGGCCGCGATACCAACCCCTCACTGATTGAGCATCGCCCACATTTAGAATTCGCTGTAGGATATCCAATCGTTTGAGCCATAGCGTCCACTGTGATCATGTGAGAAGAATTGTTACGAATATCGCCAGTATCGCGGCTTTGCGTGACTCTCACCTTAAGGAACTGCGCGCTTCTTAACTGCGTCGCTCATCCAAGAAGTTGCTGCTAGACGCTCGCGATATGCATTTTTGAATTCTCCAATCATTCGGTCTCCTAGCGTCTTAGACTCACTGCTAAATGCCTTTTGCACGAAGGCTCGTCCGAAACTCCACCTCAATTCTTTTGAGATTTGCGAAATATAGGTCTGCGATCGTTCTAGTGTACTTTCAGGCTCTACGCCATTCATTATGTTCTGAATCCGCCTTGGCGAGAGGCTAAAGTCGGGGGAAACCCGAGCCATGAGAGTATAGGTGGTAAACCACATCAGGCAAATCTGGATCGTCTCTCGATCTGTGTTGTCAAGGACTCCAAACATCCGTCCGAACCACGAGGGTTGATGTTTGCTCCAAAAACGGCCAGGCAATTCACCTTCGCATGGGTGGGCAAGCGCGATCCAGGCGAGCCGACCGGGGCGTCTCCCAGCACAAGGAGAGCTTGGACGTCTGGTCACAGATGGGAAACTCATCGCAGATTCCCCTTGCCCTACCCGAGGAGCTGGGCGACAACACGCAGCTTCGAGGTAGCTTGGATCGCGACAATGAGAGAGGTGACGGCGCATCCACAAACGACAATTCCGCCAAATCAGTCATATTTCCGTTCAGCCGGGCATTCTATCAAAACAGGCGCCTTACAAAGTGCTCGGGATCCCGGAAGTCACGATCGTCTCTTGCACGATCAATGTTCTCACGGCTGTGTTTTGGAATGTGCCGAGTGTTGCTGCCATCCAGATTACCCAGTGCTTCACGAGTGACGGGGAGCAAGGCGTTCTTTTGTGGGAAGTGCTCAGGATCTGGGGCATTATGAGCTTCAGCATTGCGGTGATCACAATCACTCAGGTTCCCTTTACCTTGGCCTTTGTGATTCTAGCTAAGCATTTGATTGTCGGCCAGCGAGTTCTAGGCAACTACGACTGGGATAAATCCTCGTACTGTCAGCGATGGCAACTTCATCTCGCTCTCGAGCGGCTCCGCCGCCATTGCTTTCGCGGTCAAGGTATATTAAGCTATTTCACTGGTATAGAGTGGCTGGTGTGGTACTATCGTCTGTTGGGGTCCCGAGTAGGTCGTAACTGTGCACTCTTCGCCAATGGCCATCTTACCGTTATGCTTACAGAGCCTGATCTCGTCAGCATTGGCGATCGCGTCGCCATTGATGATGCGAGTATTGTGCGCACATCAATACGCGGGGAACTTTGACCTCAGCCGCCTCGACATTGGCGATGATGTGTGCTTCGCTCAGGAAGTCGACTCTCAGCGCGCGTCAATGCACCTGATGCTTGCTTGCTAGAACACCACTCTTGTCATGGGGGGCGATGTTGTGGGGACAAAGTGCACTCTGCAAGGCTGGCCCGCGGAATCGTTTGTAGTAAGAAGGATGCCAAGTAGGAAGGCCTGCTAGAGTGAATGTTGTCATGAAATGACCTGGGATCGCTTTTCATGCTGGCATTGTCGACAAGAGCCCAAGGGCGCCCGTAGCTCAATCTAGGGTTTCCTGATACATGGGAATCACTAACACTAAAGTTCAAGCCCTATGATGAGCAATGGTCCAGCTCCTGGTGTCCATTCTCAGCACGCCTTACAATCCTCCCCCCCATGAAGCGGTTTGCTGCTGCGGAGCGCTCAACACGTGCACAGAAACGCTTCTTCAGTCCTACTCTACGCGCACTCGGCGAAACGACCCTTAGTAACCCAGGCAGGCCCTTCGTTACGCCCTTACACTAAAAATGCCTATGTTCAATGGTGAATTACAATTTAATATTATGCTCCACTGAATGAAGCTTAAAACTAGGTTGGCAGTTACTTGACTAAAGATATCGTTGGTACCGAAAATCTTGAAAATGGATAGACTGAGGGTTAGGGTTACTGGAGTTGTGTCGAAACTGCATCCCCGCCAAAACGATAGAGATGCTACAAGCATGGTTATATATGTATTTATCAGAATCCAAGGTCGACCACGCTCCGGCCGGCCTGGCCACCACGCGTGCATCGGATCCTCGTCACATTTGCTCCTGCACCCAAAAAAACATTATCCACTCTGTTCGACTGAGCATCGCCAATCGCCACCGGCGCCGACGACCACCCTCGACATCTCCCGAACCTCTAACACAGACGCGAAACGGCTTCTTCCCATTGAGACAAGGCCCAACACTACCAGCCGCTGAAGGATTCCGTCAACATGGCCTCGGCCGCGACGAACGGCGATGCCGCCGCGGCTCTCGACGACATCAAGCCCCCCGCCGGTGTCGTGCTCCCGCCGCGCGAGATTCGCAACGTCCTCGAGAAGACGGCGGGCTACGTGGCGCGCAACGGATTTGTCTTCGAGGACAGGATCCGCGAGAAGGAGCGCGCCAATCCCAAGTTCAGCTTCCTCAACACGGCCGACGCCTACTACGCCTTTTACCAGTGGCGGCTCGAGGAGATCAAGGCCGGGCGCGGCACGGCCATCGCCGCGGGACGCGCCAACGAGGCGGCGGCGGCGGCGGCGGAGAAGCCCAAGGGACCCCCTAAGCAGGCGGACTTTCAGTTCTCGGCGCGCATGCCGCGGCTCAGCCAGAAGGACCTCGACGTCATCCGGCTGACGCGCTGTTCGTGGCCAAGAACGGGCGGCAGTTCATGACGCACACGGCCCAGCGCGAGGCCGGCAGCCCGCAGTTTCACTTTCTCATCCCGAACCACACCTTCACAACTTTTCCAGCACCAGGTCGACCAGTACACGGCGCTGCTGCGGACGACGGGGCCTCGGCGGCGAGGGCGGCAAGCTGCAGCAGGAGGTCACGGCCGAGCTGCAGGGCAACGTCGACGACAAATACAGGGTGCTGGCGCGGGCGCGGCAGCGGGCCGAGTACGCGCGCTTCCAGGAGGCCGAGAAGGTCAAGAGGGAGCAGGAGACGGAGAAGAAGCGCGAGGAGTTTGCGCGCATCGACTGGAACGACTTTGTCGTCGTCGAGACGATTGTCTTCAACGACGCCGACGAGCAGGCCAACCTGCCGCCGCCGACGAACCTCGCCGACCTGCAGTACGCGTCTCTCGAGGAGAGGAACAATGCGTCGATTGGCGGCAATTTCCGCATCGAGGAGGCCATGCCCGACGAGGTCACCGACTACAACGCGACGTCACTGCCTCTGCACAACAGCTACGCGCCGCAACAACCCCAGCAGCAGCAGCAGCAGCAGCAGCAGCAGCAGCAGCAGCAGCAGCAGCAGCCATACCACCAGACACACGGACCGAATGGACAACCGCCGAGGAAGACGGCCGAAGAGGAGGAGGAAGATAGGCGGATCCAGGAGAGGAGCGACGCGCGCGCGAGGGAGCAGCAGGCGCGAGCCGAGGCACGGGGCGGCAACGGGCCCATGAAGATCAAGGAGAACTACGTGCCGCGGGCGATGCAGCGGGCGGCGCAAGCGGTGCCGATGGCGCTGTGCCCGAACTGCAAGCAGCAGATTCCGATGGACGAGCTCGAGGCGCACATGAGGAGTGAGTGGACCTCGGACCCCGCCCCTATTTTTTGTTTCTTCTTTTTACCCAAGGGGTCGCATCTCTGCTAACACATCTGTCTAGTTGAACTGCTCGATCCTCGATGGAAGGACCAGAAGGCCAAGGCCGACGCGCGTTATGCGACGACGAACCTGTCGACGGCTGATGTGGCCAACAATCTCAAGAGGCTGGCAAGTCAGCGCAGCGATGTGTTTGACGGCATCACGGGCCAGCCTCTGAGCGAAGAGGAGCAGGCTCGACGGAAGAAGGCGGCGGTCACGGCGTGGAGAACCCCAACATGGGGCCCAACCACATGCAAGGGCTCAATGTGAATGACCAGATCCGAGCGATCCACCAGAAGTTTTCGGATCGCAAGTAGGGTCGGGCGAAGGGAGGGCTACTGCTGTACCATGTGTACGTTTGTACAATGTGTAGGCCTGTACAATGTGGTGTGGTGGTAAGGCATTCGCCGTGTACACGAGAGGGTTCAGGTTTGATCATGGGGTAGCGAGCGGCCCAAGAGTTCGCTGTAGCTGCAAGAGAGGCTTTGCATAATGAAAAACGAGGGACAAGATGGATACTTTCCTGCTGCCGATGGTGTCTGATGCTGATGGTGTCTGATGCCTATGGACGTATGCACAAGGCTGCAGCTCGTGATGATGACATGATACATACCGACTCCCTAAAGGTAGGTACGAGGCAGCCCCCGCATCTGCAGCTTGTGTGCTTGATCTGAGGTAGTAATGCGAGCTAGCATCTGCCATCCGAGCTTCTTCCCCCCCGGCAACTCCAATAAAGGCACCTTTCTTTACCCCTCCTCGCCTGCTTTCCGATTGCCAGCCAAAAAGCGGGAATTCCTGTGACCTGCTACCTGCAACCTGCAACTTACGACCTACAACCAACGACACACGACCTCGACGACCTCGACGCCCTCGACGACTTCTCCCCTCCATCGCATCCTCCCCCCCCCGCCGACACATCCTCTCTCCCGGCGACCCCCCGCCAACACCGCCAAAACGGCGTCCCGCGACCAGGACGGGGCTCAGGCCCCCGGCGGCGCCGAGTCGCCCAACTCGCCGACCTCGCCCTTCCACCGTCCCATCCTCCAGGCCATGCCCGACAACCGTCAGCAGTCCTTTGACGAGATTTACGGCCCGCCTGAGAACTTCCTCGAGATCGAGGTCCGCAACCCCCGCACCCACGGCATGGGCCGCTCCATGTACACCGACTACGAGATTCTCTGCCGCACAAACATCCCCGCCTTCAAGCTGCGCGCCTCGAGCGTCCGCCGCCGCTACTCCGACTTTGAGTACTTTCGCGACATCCTCGAGCGCGAGTCCGCCCGCGTCACCATCCCGCCGCTGCCCGGCAAGGTCTTCACGAACCGCTTCAGCGACGACGTCATCGAGGGCCGCCGCGCCGGCCTCGAAAAGTTTCTCAAGATTGTCGTCGGGCCACCCCCTTCTGCAGACCGGCAGCAAGGTCCTCGCCGCCTTCGTCCAAGGTATGCCGATGCCGCTGCTCACCACCTCTTCCTCCTCTTCCTCTCTTCCCTCCCTGCTCTCTGCCCGAGACGCCGCCGCCGCCGGCCACCGCCCTGCACACCCCCGTCTCCTCCGAGTCGCTGCGCGCCGCCGTCGCCGCCGAGCGCCAGCAGGAGGACCTCGTCTGGATCGTCGGCAGGACGAGGGGCAGGCGGCGGTCTTCCGTCCTGCAGCAGCAACAGCAGCAGCCGCAGCCGCAGCACCACCACCACCACCACCAACAGCCGCCCGCGGGCAGACACAGGGACGGGGACAAGAGAGAGGCACTTCACAGCGCGAGGGGACAGACAGCTGACGTGATGCGCAGACCCCAACTGGGACCGCAATGCGTGGTGACTGAAACTCCGACGCGCCTGGCCCAGCGCCTCGCCGCACCCCTCGTCCCCGCCGCCCGCTGCGCCGAAGCGCCTCCGCGTCGCCCCTGCCCGGGTCCCCAATAAGCTGCGCAAGAGACATGCGCCGCGCTGCCAGCCGCGCTCCGACACGCCGCTTGAACGGGTGTCGTCGTCAGACATGTGAATTCCGCTGTTGCGCGCGCCCATATGCCCAACGAGGAATCGAGCCTTGCATTGGTTATGAATGGATTGGCAGGACAATGGGGTGAATGCGATCGGGGCAGGACGTTGAGCAGGGATCTGGATACAGGCAATTTTGGTGTGTGCGTGTGAGAGAGAAAGAAAATGAGTGTGTGTTACTTAGGTTGAGGGGGCCGTTTTGTCCTTCTATCTCTTCTTCCCCGCGCAGCACTGTCAGCTTCCTACATGACGTCTCACCCGCTTGATATAGGAATCCACGGGCCGCCAGCATGACCTTTTTTTCCCTTCTCTCTCTCTTTTCCGTGTTCATTCTCCTCTTGCCCGGCCTTCATCCTAGCAGTTTCCTTCTTTTTTTCTTTTTCTCAAAAGTGGCGTTGGGAGGGAGGAAAGCTCTGCCATGACATGAGCTGCAAACCATTCTTTCTCACCTTTCACAAAGTGTGTGTACTCTCAATGATATGTAAACGCTAGGCAAAAAATGCCCGACGCAGAAAAAATTGACCGAATCAGGATATGTCCATTCGCTGTTCTCCCTTGCATCGATTGGCCCTTGGCTGTCTGCCTGTCATTTGCAGAAGCCTAGACTCTCCCAGCCGGCGACCCCTCTACTCCTAACAAGTGTGGTGTTACAAAACTGTTACTAATGTACACGTTTCCCTCTTTCTCTCTCTCTTCTCTCTCGAGTGGAGAATCTCCCAACGCCGGAATTTTTCTGCTGCCCCAATGCAAAGCCTTACCCCTCCGTGCGGTTTCCATGCCCCATCTGCTACCTGTTCCGGATTCAATGGCCGGCGCCTGATTTTATCTTTTTCCAAAATAAGTGGTTTGTGGTGTTGTACAAAAAGAGGTGTGTTCGAAGAAGTGTTATGCGAGAAGGATATCGTGGAGAAGCGGAGGTGTGTGTGTAAGTGTATATGTGTGTCCGCAGGCCGGGCGGTGGTGCGGCTCGTATTACAAAGTCGTTTTATCGTCGCGATTGCGCTTCTTCCCCTTTCCTGCCGTTTGCGGTCACTCCTTTTCGTTGGATGGCACGTCGAACAACCGGAGGATACCCTCGTACATGCCGAACATGATGGCGGCGCTCGGCACCGTCCGCATCAGGTGCGGCGTCAGGCCGCCGTAAAGGCCCATGAAGCCTTCTTCCTTCCACACGAGCTTGAAGCACTGCATGAGACCGGTGTACTTGAGCCGGCCGTTGGCCTCGGGCGCCTGTCGTAGCCTTGTCCGTGCAACCTGTGGCATGTCAGTACACGTGATTCAGTCTAGAGAAAAGAGTCTTGTACGCCATCCCGGCGGGCAAGGGGAGGCAAGGTAACCTACTTCGTGAGGGTATGCAATAACGGCGGCCACAAACTTGGCGCCGCCAGCGGAGATGATTTTGCCCGTCCAATCGACCGTCGTATCCCAAGCCGTCTTGTCGCGGCCGCTCGCGACAATCTTGTCGTTGCGCTCCTTCAGGTAGCGCTTCATCTGCTCGTACATCATCCACTGCAGCGTGCTCTCTGTGACGCCGAGGTAGCTGGCGCTCATGCCCTTGTACAGGCCGCGGATGCCTTCGGTGCCCAGCACCTGCCGGATGCAGTCGATGCTGTTGCGGTACTGGCGCGTCGCGGCGCCGCCTGCCTTTTCGACGATCGTCTTGTCGAGCTGCAGGCGCGTCTTGACCATCCAGATCGGGTTCGTCGCCGTGCTTGTCACGATGCCCGCCGCGGCCGCCGCGCAGAGGTGCACCCAAGCCGCCTCCTTGCCGTCGTTGGCGTACTGTGCGATGAGACGCTTGCCGTTGCCGTAGGTGTAGAAGTTGATGGCGCGCGCCGGGACGACGCCCGTCAAATTCGGACCGAGGCCTTTGAACAGGGCCCGCGGGCCCTCGAGCTTGTAGACAGAAGAGAGAATGGATAGGGTGTCGCGAAGGTGGAAGGCGGCGGCGGAACACGGATTGAGGGCAACAGCAGGACGAGAAGCCCGCAGCTGAGATTGGTAAAAGTCGGATTGGAGGCGTGTCTTCAGAACGTCAAGAGGCGCCGTCAGGGCAGCCGATGTCATGCCGCCGACACTAGAGGCATGTTAGCTGTCTGGCGATGAGGAGAAAAAGGGGCAAGGGGCAGAGCCTACCCTCCGGCCAGGAAATGGACCCATGACTTTCCAAACGGCGATGTCTGGGTTACAATCGCTGGGTTCTGTGTAGTGTCGGGAAACACATCGCCAGTCTCTCGAGATGTCATGAAGGATGCCGTGTCTGGTTGAGGGCTGTGAAGGGTTGGCCTGCCATGGCGGTCTCCAGGACCTGCCATGAAGTCTGGTTTCGAGAAGGAGTGGGCCATCGATGTGGCGAGACAAGGCGGAGACAAAAGCGAGGTGAAGTGAGTCGCGGTCGTTGGGAAAAAGAGGGCAGAAACAAAATTATGATCTATCTCGGTGCGATTCGCGGGCACAAAGAGATGTTGTCGTGATCTCTGGGTGAGTTGACCGGGACTTGTGGTGCCATGGGGTTTATCGAGATATGGATCAGGGTCCCGGAATCATCAAGTCTTTTTTTCCTCTGTACAACGACGCGCCGCGCATCGACTGGGCTGTGTCATCATAAGACTTGGCCCGTGCATCAATGGGATGGGCAGGAGTGGTAGGCGGTGTGCCTACACATCCACGCCACTCGGTGTGTGTCGGTGTGACGAGGTCCTGGAATGCATGCATTACGATTGGCCTAGCCTTCACTTTCAGGGGCATACATTTGCGTGAGCCAGCGTGTATGATTGTTCATGCATAAACTTGATTTTGATACGTATTTCTCACTTCGTTTTTCTCTCAACATATGTACAGGCTGCCCATGTCCCATGATCGTCTTCACCACGCCACCTATGAGCTCTATCTGTCAGAACCCTGTGCTTCAGCCTGACATGGCATAGCCACGTGATTGATGATGTTCTTTGTGTACATCTCATTTTCCACTTGACCTCAGCATCAGGATTTCCATTAATCTAATGCCCTGTTGGCGAAGGGGCTTGCCTGACGATACCATCTCGAGCGTCCGCTGCTGCCGTAGCTACCGAGGCCATATGGCTCAGCCGAGCATGGTCTCTGTGTGGGCCCGGATGATCGTCACGGTGAAGTATATCTGCTGGCCATGGCTTGGATGCCGAGGGCGAGACGGACACGCGGATCTGCGGCAGACTATTCGGCGGTGCCCTCTTCTCTACCGTTTCGGTTGGAGAAGGTGGCCGTATCGTGGGCTGGCTTCCCCTGCTGCCCGGTCTCGAGCTCTCTCCGCGGGCTGGTGGCGAACCTACAGACTCATCCGTCGTGTGGCGCTGCTCATCGTGGCTCGCATCATATTTCAACCCTGTCGCGTGACCCGAACCAGATCCACTGCCTTCCAGTTCAGCGTCCCCCGCGTTGTTCTCTTCCCGTTCGAGCCATGCAATTTCGCGCTCTGTGATGGTCTTCCAAGAGCACTTGGCGTGCTTTTTGGTGCAACCCTGGCATGCCGTGAGATGCTTGATGCAGGGCGATTTCAGTCGTCGACAACGGTCACATGGTGGGTAGATTGGGCTTCCTTTGTCGAGTCTTTCTATGCGCGAGGTCATCGCGTGCGGTGGACTTGCGGATGGGTCGAAAGAGTCCCTCCGTGCACAGGGGGGAGCGGACGGTAAAGGGATCGACCAGGCTGCGCCGGCCAGTTGCTGACGATGATCCGAGCGCTAGTCGAGTTGTGAGATATGACCAGCATCG